CCCACTATAGAGAGTCTATGGTGGGCTCTGCAGGGTCACTCTCCGCTGGGGCTCTGCAAGTGGCATAACTAGCAATCACGGGGCCCCATACAAAATTTTGCTATGGGGCCCTGTGATTTCTAGTTACGCCCCTGATTGTCAACATCAAAGTCTTTTATATTTTTCTTCTTGCCCAGCTTTCACATCCATGGAGAGTGACAGAAAATACCATAGCTCAGACAATTCTAATTGTTGTACTTATAAAGACATCAGTACTTTTGAGGATCTTTTCTAGGTCTTTCATATTTTCTCTTCTAAGTGCCAGTCTGAGTCATATTTCTTGACTGCTGGATCCTTTGTTTAAAGAATTGGAGGCAGATGCCGTCTACTATTTCTATCTCTAAAATTGTAGAGTACAATTAACGTGACACTTGTTTCTGTATCATAGAATTCATATGTTTGACAACAAACTGTTTGGAATCCATAATTCGGAGTCTGATCGCATGGATCCACAACACAAATTACTGCTGCGGTGTACATACAGAGCTCTGGAAGATGCTGGTTACTCCATGGAGAGTATCAGTGGAAGCAATACTGGCGTCTACATAGGTAAGCAAAAACCATTTATGGTGCCAACAATATCTTGAGATTTCAGTAGTAATTCAGGTCTGACACACAAGGCAGGACAAAAAACAATGATGTACAAAGTACAGGAATCCACATTGATCAGTTCACATCACCGGTTTTTTTTTTTCATCTTCTGCAGACTGTAAAAAAAAAAAAAAAAAGTCATTTTTGTTCCCCCTAATGTCATTTTGATGCAACGAAATTCGTTATTGGACGAATTCTGTTGCAGCAAAGTTACATTTTTTTATTTTTTACAGTCTGCAGAAGAGGAAAAAAAAAAGCATGAGGTTCCCCCCTAATTCATACCAGACCCTTTAGGTCTGGTAGGAATGTTAAGAGGCACCCCCCAAGTTAAAACAAAAAAAAAAGACCCTTTAGGTCTGGTAGGAATTTTAAGGGGGAACCCCAGCCCCCCAAAATGGGGGGAAAATGTGGGGTCCCCCTAACATTCCTAACAGACCCTTGATCTGAGCACTGGCCCGGCAGGGCAGGAAAGGGGACGATCGAGCGCCCCCCTCCCTGCGCCTTACCAGGTCACGTGCCCTCGGCATTGGGAGGGTGTCTGGTTCTGGGGGTCTGCAGGCAAGGGGGCTTATTTGCATTGGGGTACCCCTTTAATTAAGGGGGTACATAGATGCCGCCCCCCCTTGTGAATGAGTAAGTGTTACTTGTACCCCTACCCATTCACTAAAGGGTTAAAGAAAATAGTTTTTAAAAAGTCCAGACTTTTGCTAAAATCCTTTATTTGAAAAAAAAACAAAGAGACAATTTTTGACTATTTCTTTAATTAACCTCCCTCTGATTATCTCAGTATTTTTTTTTTTTCTATTTTTTACTTTTTAATTTCCCGCCGGTTCCGCCCCTCCTGCGGCACGGGCGCTTGCAAGGGACGGAACCCGAAAGACGGATGTCGGCATCAGCCGGAGGACACAGCGGGGCTCGTATGGACAAGGTAAGTGACGCTACGCTGTAATCCGGAGTGTGGCTCAGGGTTACCGCTTTTGGTACTGAAAATTATCCCCGAGCCACACTCTGGAATACCGCCAGGAAGGTTAAAAAAAAAATTAAAAATAGCTCCATCGATGTAATCCAGTGTCAATCACGATGCACGACACCCGCTGAAATAAAAAAAAAGTCCCGCCGCAGGACGACCGGCCGAACCCGACGAAAACTCGCTGCAAAATGACATTCAGCCCGAAAGTAAACAGAGGGGCAGAGCGAGCCATGACGTCACGGCTCGCTCCGCCCATTTGACATTCTCAGCTGTCAAATGCTACATAGCATTCGGGAACTCCTGAATGCTATTTGTGAACTCCTGAATGCCTCACGGACCCAAATGGCATTCTGGAGTTCACAAACAGCATTCGGGATTTCCCGAATGCTATGTACAGTAGTATTTGACAGCTGAGAATGGCAAATGGGCGGAGCGAACCGTGATGTCACGGCTCACTCCGCCCATCCGTTTATTTAAAGGAATAGTCAAAAATTGACTCTGTACTTTTTAATAACTATTTTATTTAACCCTTTAGTGAATGGGTAGGGGTAAAAGTACCTCTTACTCATTCACAAGGGGGGGGGCGGATTGGGCCAGTGCTCGGATCAAGGGTAGGGTAGTCTGGTAGGAATGTTAGGGGGGGGCGCCTTTCCTGCCTTGCTGGGCCAGTGCTCGGATCAAGGGTAGGGTAGTCTGGTAGGAATGTTAGGGGGGACCCCACATTTTTTCCCCATTTTTCAGGGCTGGGGTTCCCCCTTAAAATTCCTACCAGACCTAAAGTGCATGCATGGTATGGATTTCGGGGGGGAACCCCACGCACCTTTTTTTTTGTTTTAACTTGGGGAGTCCCTCCTAACATTACTACCAGACCTAAAGGGTCTGATGTGAATTGGGGCGGAACTTCGCGGTTTTTTTTTTCCTCTTCTACAAACTAAAAAAAAAAATGTTTTTTTTTCTAATGTCATTTTGCTGCAACGAAATTTCGTCCAACAATCAAAATTTCATCCAGACTACCGCTAACGAATTTCATAATCGGAAATTCGGATTCGTTTGCATTCATTATATCTGTAATTTGGAATTCAGATACCGTACATTCGAATTAGGGCTGGTAATGATTAAAATTTTCGTGTTCGATTAATCAAAATTTTTTTAAATCGAATCGATTAATTTCGATTAATTATAACGCACATACAGATCCAACTACATTGGCCTATACACATACAGCACAGCAATGAAGTAATAAAATGAACTAGGATCACACTAATCCAGCACTTTATTAATCTCACGTGCCCCACTCAATATGTCCGCCGCTTGAGTGGGGCAACACAGAATAATAACGTGCTGGATTAGTGTGATCCTAGTTAATGTTATTACTTCATTGCTGTGCTGTATGTGTATAGGCCAATGCCTTGGCTGGCGCTGTCATCAGCGCCTGACATCCGGTGACATCACGGACATCGACTTGACCGGACTCCTCCCCCTTCCCTTCGTTAGCCGACGGAGCCACTTGGGGAAGGGGGGAGGAGTCCGGTGACGTCGATGTCCATGACGTCACCGGATCGCCGACGGGACTCCCGGAAGCCGGCAGAGAGGGGAGTGTTTTCATTAGCGATCAAAATAATTTTAATCGATCAAAAAATGTTTAACGATTAATCGACAAATTAATCTTTAATTTCCACAGCCCTAATTCGAATGTCCGAATTTCCATCCGAATTGATTCGGAACGAAACGGATCGCACATGTCTAGATTTCAGTAGTAATTCAGGTCTGACACACAATGCAGGACAAAGAACAATGATGTACAAAGTAGAGGAATCCATGTTGACCAAACCAGGGTTCACATCACTGGTGGATGACTTCTCCTGCCTAGAAATAATGCTGTTGGTACTTTGATGTATGCTTTATTGAATAAAAGGAACACAACATATTGTTGGTTTCATAAACTCTCACAGTGATATCAAACAGCCATGCTAATGATTTAAAGATCCACTAACAATCTTTCATCAGCAACAAATAAGATCTTATATCTCTTGGAGTTTTCATCTGTGAGATTGTTGCATCTAGGTTGCCAACTTTAACTATTATTGATTAAATTTAATATATATAGCATTATTGAGAATGTAGCAAAAGAGTAGGAGTCTTTCTCTGTATTAGTAGGAATGGCACATGGTGGGAGAGTGGGTTGAGTTAGACCAATGAGTATTTGAACCCAACAGCTTTTATCTAAAATTGCAATATGAGGTTGGAGAGGACTTGTGTGTGTCTTATCCATTCAGTTATCTATGTCTGACTACTGGCGATTTTATAAGCCTGGTCTCTCCACATTTTTCAGTCTTGTACTACTTCTTAAGCTGGCCACAGACCTTATAACCATCGCAAGACTTTTGTCTTGCGATGCTTGTAAGGTAATTTAAAAAAACGTACGTTCTGCCCATCTTGGTCAGGCAGATCGTACTTGCGATAATCGCAAGCCCGCCCTGCTGAGGGGCGGGCTTCAGATGACCGCAATGCTGAACAGGCAGTGTGCGCTTGCGCACATCGGCCCGTGCGGCATTCATCTTACGATCATGCTATAAACCATGCTACAAAATTGTACGATTCGACGAATCGTACGATGCGCGAAAGACAAAAGTCGTGCGACCGTACAGTAGAAATGGTCGCACTCCTTCCACACACCTTGCGATAATCGTACGATCGCGGGATTTCCCGCTATTATCGTAAGATTTTATAGTTGTCTCACGTCCCAGCTGGTGTCATTATTGATGGTGTCTAACCATTGTGTTCTTTGGCGGATTTTAGAAGATTTGTGTTTGAGTATCTCTGTCCTTTATTTTGCAGGTATCATGAACAAAGATTCCGAATTTATATACAATAATTCTCCTGAAAACATCAATCACTTCAATGGAACTGGCACATCAATGAGCATAGCAGCAAACAGGATATCATTTCAATTCAATCTGACTGGGCCTTCTCTGTCACTGGATACTGCCTGTTCTTCCTCGCTCGTGGCACTGCATTTAGCATGCCAAGCCATCAGACAAGGTACTAATTGGTGTCAAACCAGAACTCTTATAAAATGGTCTGTAAAGCTGCCTTAAGACACAATAAAACAACTTGTTGTACAGTGTTTGATATTTTAACAAATATGTCCATGATCATACCAGACAGTATCTGTTATTTTTATCCAACTGACTGTAGAAAAAGGTAGGGACAGCTCACCTACTGTAGAGCACATGTTATCTATGTGAAACGCCAAGTGCATTGGTCTGAGTCACTCCTACACATTTGATTGTAATCAATACTGAAATGACCAGCTCTCCAGCCAGTCCAATGGAAAGTCATATTTTATTAGGGGAGATAATGCTTAAAAAACTGTACTCAGTTGTTTCACTGACCCTACAGAGCACAGTACTGATGTAGGGGTTGACCAGAGAAACCACTGAGCACCGCGAGTTACGTGCTTCAGAAAGTGTCTGTTTCTGAAGAAATTTCACCTGGTGATTTTATTTCATTGGACTGTCATTTGTTGATGCGAGCAGCAGAAGAAATAGATATTGACTTGCTTCTTTGCAGGTACTTCTTTTCTTTCAGCAAGTCTCCTTAAAAATCTCCTCAAAAGGTCAAACATGCCAAACTTATGTGTTTCTGCTGACTTTTACCCGATGTCAGTGAATACAAAGTAAACACATTGCTTCACTTTAGTAAACTTGTAGTTTAACACTAAGCTCATTTTCTCCCCTAGCATTTGAAATATCTAATATCTATCTAAGTACTATCCCAACGTGTGACATATAATAACATATTTTTTGCAGCAATGCAGTACATTTAGCAATCTAAATGTACACTACGTTTTTTTAATCTGCAATGCAATGCACAGTGTGGTGCGGCCAGGGCCGGGCTTAGGCCTTTAGGCGCACTGTGCGAGAAAGCTTTACAGTGCTCCTCAGTGACCACACCCCTCAGTGGCCACACCCTTTAGTGGCCACACCCCCAGTAACCACACCCATTTTCCCTCAATATCCGCACCACCTATTTTGTTAATAAAAGTTTTATTCAAAGGTATTAAACTTGTAGACACAATATAAGTATTCTTATCAAATAAAACAACAGGAGGCAAACAATAAATGTCAAATTAAAATAGAGTCTATAAAAATAAAGTGTCAGGATGTCATGCCGATCCCTTTTTTCAAGTAAGTATATCTAGAAAAGTAAAAATAGAAAACAGAACACAAAACCTAGACTACATGTAAAATTAATGAATTACTATATGTCCAAATATACGAAAAATGTATTCAGGCACATAATAATTTGTTTGAGAATGTGCGACGGTCATGTTGTCCACCGGCGTGTTCTGTGAATGCGTGCCATCATCTTGGAGGTGGGGAGCATGGTGTTACATGACGCCATGCATGCGTGGCATCAGGTGACGTCACACATTGATATTGGCCCCACCATCTTGGTGTATACCTAGATACACACCAAGATGGCGACACCCAACACGTGCGGTGTTATATGACATCATGCGCCCCGCCTCCAGAACACGCCAAGTCCAATGCTATTTTGGCTGAATCCAAAATAGCATAAAAATTTGTTTCTAGTTTTCGTTCATTTCATCTGAAATTAATTTGTAGTCTTTGCACAAGTCTAATAATAAGTGTGTGTGTGGAAGGGGGGGTGAAGGGGGGGGCTGAACAAAGATCAGGAGTGAACCATTGCAGCATCTGCACCAAAAGACCCATCAGAGATCACTCAAATGCGCAAGTAGCCTAAAGGCATTTGACACTGTATCAGGAGGGCATGCTGACAAATTGTTAATAACACTGTTGCTGGAGTGAAATTGATTGCTGGTTGTACTATTGAGCCTGTGGACTTTATGCTGTGAAGGGGATTGCCATCCCAGCCTGTGTCTCTGTTTCCACAATCCTGCAAAGGACTGTTAACTTGTTCACTGCTGATTACCACCTGCTGGACATCCCAGCCTGTGTCTCTGTTTCCACAATCCTGCAAAGGACTGTTAACTTGTTCACTGCCGATTACCAGCTGCTGGAGCTATACCTATGCACTGTGATTGTTAAAGCTTGATCAGGGGAGTTATTCACTGTTAGGAAGCATTACCAACCAGTTGCTGGAACTTGAATTGACCAGTACCTCCAACCAAACACCCGAGTGACTTAACCCTGCTGTAGTGACGTTGTGTGATCTTTGGCGGCCCCACAGCTCGCACACCCCTAAGGCCGGCCATGGGTGTGGCTTCACATTAGCCCACTTCACATTAGAGCCCCCTCCTTTCATATCAGAGTCCCCCTTCACATCACAAGCTTTGCTTCACATAAGAAGCACCTCCCTTTCACATCAGAAGCCCTTTTCATATCAAAAGCTCTCACTTCACATCAGGAGGAGTGCAAGGCACCCCTGAGGAAGCCAGAAGTTGAGAAAGGTTGACATAACATAAAGCATGGGGTTTACTGACTATTGTCAGAAGAAAAAAACAAAATACACAGTTAAAACACATAATGAGGAGCTGTCTTACTTGCTGACTGATTTTTTACTCCTGATACAATTTAACCACTTCACTGCAGGGTCATTTTTTATGTTTTTCGCACACATATTAAAATCTGCATCTTTGGCAAAAATTACTTACGGTAAATCCCACCACCCAAAAATATATTTGGCATTGCATATTTTGAGAAAGCTGAGGCTCAGTAAAATAAAAAGATGGTAGCTGCACTATTTCTACTACTGTTTATCAAATCTATATTTTCAGTGCACACAAACACGGTATACTATGTATTTTTTGTACAAATAAAAGATGAGGTTGTGTCTAGTAAATAGATAGCAAATATGCCAAGCCTCAAATCTAAGTGCATCTGTAAAACTCTGCGAGTCCTGTAAAGGTGAATGGGCAGCACAGATCACTTTTACTACTGTGTAACAGTAAGCTTGTCTTAACTACTTCAAAGCCTGGACGTAAGGAATCCAAAATGCTGAAGGGCTTAATTAACAGTTTAAAATTGTTTCAGAGTGAAAGACTTGTGAAATACATATCCTTAGAGCCAGACTTGTACTTTATTTCATTACAACCCCTGAAAATGTTTTTTTCCTTTCACAGGAGATTGCGAGTTGGCAATATGTGGTGGTGTCAGCTGTATCTTAGATCCTCGTATCTATGTTGCTCTCAGTAAGGCAAAAATGATTTCTCCTGAGGGAACAAGTAAACCGTTTTCCAAAAAGGCAGATGGTTATGGAAGAGGAGAAGGATGTGGAATTGTGGTTCTTAAACCATTAAAACAGGTAAAATGTATTTTCATCAGCATATCCTGTTCAGCGGTTCAAGCATATGTTCTTTAAACCATCATAGCTAATTATAGTCTGATATTTCTCAGCACCGTTAACCTAGTAGAAATAATTGTTCTTTAATGAACATAACACTTGTAGAATGCTTTATACAAACTAGCAGCACTGCCATATATATTTTAGGGAACATTAAGATGACAAAGATGGCAAGCTATAAATTAATATATACAGTATCTTTTTAATAGGAGAATTTTGAAGCCAGCAGGTAGAGACAGGCAATGGGAAAGGCAGGAAAAGGTTTTAGATAGTGTTCTCCTGTAAGTTTGACCTAATAGTTTTTTAGAAATTATCCAGGAACTAAACATTAAAAAAGCACTGGAATGTAGTAAAATAAGACCACTTTGAGATCGAAATGGTGAATTAAAATTAATCTATGTCTTGAAAAAAATCTAGGGTACGCAAGAAATATATGAAATCCTTACCTTACTTCACCATACAAGATGTTACACATATAATTTGCCTTAAAAAACAGGCATCCATTTTCCTTCATTACATTATTTCCACAGGTTCTTTTCATTTATTAATTAAGAACATGTTTTTGTTTCTGTTTTACAGGCTAAAGAAGATTACAGCAAAATCTGGGGAGTCATATGTGCAAGTTCAATTAACCAAGATGGGCGATCCGTAACACCAATTACCAAACCATCTCAAGAGCAGCAGGAAAGGCTCTTAAGTCGTATCTACACAACTATAGATCCATGTTCAATACAATATCTTGAAGCTCATGGCACTGGAACACCTGTTGGGGACCCAATAGAAGCCACCAGTATAGGAAATACCATTGGGAAAAAACGTCCAAGTAAAATGAAACCCTTAAAGATTGGATCAGTTAAAGGAAACATTGGACACACAGAATCAGCTGCCGGGATGGCTGGGTTGATAAAGGTTCTGTTTATGATGCACCATGAAGTGATTCCCCCTTCTTTACATTATTCTAAAGAACTTGGAATTAAACAAATTGAAGAATCCAAACTAGTTGTTCCAACAGCTCCTGAAAAATGGCATGAAGATGTAAAATTTGGAAGGATGGCTGGCATTAACTGCTTTGGATTTGGAGGAACTAATTCTCATGTAGTTGTCAAACAATAAAAAGAGCATAACTCCAAATATGACTCCAAAAGACCTTCTGAAATATTAATTCTCTCAGCAGCCTCCAGCAAATCACTTCAGCTAAGCATTGAAGACATAAAGCAAGAGCTGAGCAAAATGCCATCATCAATATCTCTGGAGAATCTAGTCTATCCTGCTGCCTGCAGAAGAAGTCATCTTAATTTAAAATACAGAGCAGCATTTCTGGCATCTTCCTTACTATACAACAACAAGACCAAGTCATTCATTTTGAAATTCTGACATCACATGTTTATGCAACTGGGTATGTGACACAAAACAACAGTGGAATAGACAGTGACAAAAGAATTTACATTCAGCATATTGTCAAGAGATGTCAAACTGTTTTAAAAACGGATGATGTGTATGAATTACTATCCAACTTTGGATTTGAGTATGGGAAAGTCTACAAACAGCTGTGTGATGTTCACTATGGGGAAGAGCTGAATGAAGGGATTGCTAAGATTAAAACTGAAGAAATCAAAGAAACAATGTATGAATACCACATGCATCCAGTGATTTTAGACTGTTTCTTTCAAATGGTTGGTTGTGTGGTTGGTTCTAGAATAAAGGAACCTGCAGCAATTTTTCCATCTTCTATAGGAAGCTTGAGGATTCTCCAACCTCTTCAAGAAGAAATGGTGATCTACATAAAAGTACTAAGAATCACAGAAAGTTACATTGAAGTCTGTGGATGTTTTGCTGATAACAATGGTTTAGTGTTAGCAGAGATAGAAAATGCCAGGATGGAAAGCATAAAACAAGCTGTGAGAACACAAGCTAATTACTTTTTCCATATTAATTGGACAGAGAGACCAAGCTTGAAGAATGCATCAAATGAGAAGCCAAGCATGCTGATATATGCAGATAACTCAGGAGTAAGTCAGCAATTATCAGCCTACCTACATGAGGAAGTGAACTACAATAACTTTAGCAGCTGGGATTCAGACATCCAGTTACACAAATTACTCAGCAGTGAGTCTAAAGATGTTGTATTTATGTGGGGGATCCATAGGCTCAGCGATACAATTCCAAATAATCCCACACAATATCTATCAAAATGCTGTGAGGTCTACCGACAATTGATTTTGGCAGTAAGACAGAAAGGCTCTGAAGCATGTATCAAGACAGTCACATTCAGAACAACAGAAAGCACCGTAGATCACATTAATCCTGGCTTTGTTTTTGCTGGGATGACAAGAGCTTGCACTCTTGAATTGCCTAACATTACCTTTCAGTTGATCGATATTGGCTCTTCAAGTCCTCAAGATGTGGCAGCACTTGCTCAAGTTCTCCTTCATTACAAACCCAATGATCATCCGGAGGTAAGGATAAAAGAAGGCTGTATTTACACAGGTGAAATTGTATACACAGACACTGAGAAGAGTGCACAACTATCAGCACCCTTAGAGCAGCCAGACAATTTTACCTTGTGCACTTCAGATATTCATGCTATGACTGATCTTTCTGCTGAACCAAATAATTCCGAACTCAATGAGCTCTCAAGCAAAGATGTAGAGATTAGAATTAACAAAATAGGTGCCCACACTAAAGACTATTTTCCAGTCAGTCTTTCTAGCTGGCAATATGGAAACACATTGTACTGGAATGGTGTGGCTTCTGATAAACATAAGTTAGTTGCTCTGGATTTTGCAGGAACTGTAACAGCCGTTGGAAAAGATGTCCGCAAAATTCAAGTTGGGGATAGAGTTGCTTCATGTTATCCAACAGTTGCAAATTCCACAGTGAGGCTGCCAGAGAGTGTTTGCTGTTTAATTAAGACGTTTCCAGTGCTAAGAGAATCACCTTTTGTTTCACTATTTGTCTTAGCCTGGGAAATTTTACATAACCGACTACCAGGTGCAAAAAACAAATCTAAACTGACAATTGTAACAACAGAAGAAAAGTCAGTTTTCGGTACAATTTTATCAAAAGCAGCAAAACAGAGAGGCTGGGAAACCACAATATCTCCAGGAAGTACAGCTAATAGCAAACAGTGCAGTGCCATGATTATACTTCCTACATCAGAAGTAATCTCGGGAGAAGACCTTGCTCAGCTTTCCGAACTTAAAGATATGGTATTCATATGTGACCAGAAGAAATCTACACAATTCCACAGTTTAGCAATCAACTGTAGACATAACATTCACATACACATACTAGACCTTGCAACTGTTTTCCAAAGAGCATACCTACAAAAGTATGCCAAAGATATCTACAAATGGCTCCCATCACTGTTGTCAGACATTTCTCTCATCCTTCCAAAATCCATAATTCAGCCTTCTAACAGCAAATCTAATTTGAACAATGCGATGTCCAGCTATTTTAATGCACAATCCTTACCGCTCATTGAGTTAGACAAAAACACAATTGCAAAGATACCAATGTCTGTCTCTGATGCCGTTCTTTTTAGGCACAATGCTGTTTACATTGTGGCAGGTGGACTGACTGGCTTGGGATTTGAAACAGTCAAATTTATTCTAAACAATGGAGGTGGCCACATTGTGATTCTCTCAAGAAGAAACCCAAATACTGAAATGAAACAACAAATAGCCAAAGCAATGAGTGAAAAAGAGAACACTAAGATAAAAACACTACCATGTGATATAGGCCATTATGCTGAGGTGAAGAAAGCTATTGATTCAATACAAAAGATCTTCCCAAATATTCCAATCAAAGGTGTCTTTCACAGTGCTGTTGTTCTGCATGATGGCATGTTGGAGAAGTTAAATTTGTCACTCTTTGAGAAGGTCCTGAGCCCAAAAGTTGATGGAGCTGTCAATCTCCACTGTGCCACATTAAACAAAAAACTGGATTATTTTGTATGTTATTCATCTGTTGCTTCATTTCTTGGAAACTTTGAACAAGCTAATTATGCTGCTGCCAACTCCTTTCTGGACATTTTCTGCCAATACAGAAGAAATCTTGGTCTTCCTGCCCAATCAATTAATTGGGGAGCTCTGAATATTGGGGTGTTATTGGATCAACCACAGGTTCTTAACATTTTGCAAGCAGGAGGACTACTTCTTTTAAATGTACCAGAAATTCATGAATACCTGAAGAAATGTCTTTTACTAAACAATACTCAGCAAGCAATAGTCAAGTTTGATTTTAAATTGATCCATGACAGCCGGGCTTCACGCATCCCAGGTATGAAGAGGAGATTGTTCAGTTTGGTGAATGAATATGTGAACAATTTGGATGACAAAAACCAAATAAAGCGATCCAAAGTTAATACACAAAAATCAGAGGATTACATTTTGTTATTAGTAAGTGAACTCACAATTGTCACTTTAAGTGACATCACAATGGGTAGCCTTCTGAGTTCTTTAGGAATTGACTCTATGTTGGCAATTACATTACAGCAACGTATCTTTAATGAGAAAGGAGTAAATGTTCCTCTTGTCAAACTACTGGATCCCAACACAACCATTTTAGATGTGGTCTCATGGATTAAAGGAAACTCTTCAGATGAAGAAAAGTTGGTGGAGAACATAAAAACGGACACTTAGCTGTAAAAACATTCATTTATTCATTCCTTATTCTATGCAAAACCAAAAAAGTTTAGGCTTTAGATATACTTTAACTTTATGCCAAAGAGATTTGGCAGAACTGAATGAAGCCACAAATATGAAATACACTGAGCTAAAAAAACATACCCAGGAAAATCCCTACAATCAAAAAACAGTAAGGCACTTTGTATTCTTAGAAGACCTATGTTTATCTATACATGTGAAAACATTATATTTGAGTTTATTTTTTGTATATTTTTACAAATGCAATTATGATCTCACAGACAGAGGACTCAATGTTGCTGTATGTACAAAGAACTTAAAGACCTCATGCACATAGCTGGAAATAGCTGTACAGGGTACAGATTGGGCATATTTGTCTACCTGGTAATCACTGGTGTGGTGCACAGCTGCTTGCAGTCAGCCTGTAGAAATAAATAACGGGCTGGCTAAAGTCGCGTCAGTACGGGTATATATGCAAATCCTATTGCTTACATGTGTACCGGGACTTATCCATTCCCCTGAATGTAGAGGGTCTGAGTTTGGAGTAGTGTGAAAGTCCCAGTGTGCATGCAAACAATGGGGGGAAAATGTACCGTATATACTCGAGTATAAGCCGTCCCAACGAGCCTCCTAATCCAAAACCACACACTGAAAACGCAGAACGAGCAGCGGCCATATCGGAGTAGATCTTCGTATACACCAAGATGGCGGCGCCCTCATGTTCGAGAGCTGCCATTTTGGTGTACACCTAGATCTACTTCAAAATGGCGGTGCGCATGCGCTCGTTCAGCATGTGACGTCACATGCTCCAAGATGGAGGCGGACATGCGCAATACACGCTGGCGGCCAATATGGCAACCGGCGTGTTCTCAAAGCGAATGCCCGAATATCGTTTTAGTATATTCGGGCATACATTAAATTTATTATTTTTGGATTCGGACGGACCGCCGAATCAACTGATTTTCATTGATTTGCAGGTTTGTACGAATCCGAATGGGGATATCTTGTCAACAGCACAATGAGGATGAATTTCTCTAACAGGGCCACAGACAGCAATAAAATCCTACAAGGATTTTTAACCTTTCACCTATCCAAAACATAAAAAAAGTTGTTGGCTTTATATACAAGTTAACATAATATAAACTCTTTGTGATTAGAGATAATAATGGAAGATTTATCTTATAACAAAAATGAAAAGGCCATATGTTTAAAAACATTTTCAATCACAGGGCCATGTGAATTGTAAATGTAATGTAATATTTAAAAGGTGTGTGTATATATATCCTGGCAAGGAGCAATCAATGGAACGAAATATTAGTGGTGGACATATCCTAATACCGTAAAGCAACTTTAAGCATTTAAGTTTTTTATTAATATTAATGACTCTGACAGCATACAGTGTGTGCCTGAGGTCATCAAATTTAAGTTTTAACTAAATGGGCAGCGCTACTCTTCCCAACACATCTACAACAATGCCAATCAAATCATTGAGGTGTTTAAACTAAAGCTGCTGCGATATAGATCCTTACGGTCTAACAGATGAATGTAAATCAATACACAGCGCTAATCAATCTAAAGTGAAAACATGTGCATATATATATTTATCGATTTATAGTGACTACCATAAGTGGTCCAAGAGCATAAGTGTAATATCTATACAAGTATATAACGCTAAAATAAAATCGCGTATACACTAGTGCTGAAATAAGTGACAAAAATTAGTGTGAACAAAATATAATTGTGTGAACAAATCTCATGGATTAAAGGAAACTCTTCAGATGAAGAAAAGTTGGTGGAGAACATAAAAACGGACACTTAGCTGTAAAAACATTCATTTATTCATTCCTTATTCTATGCAAAACCAAAAAAGTTTAGGCTTTAGATATACTTTAACTTTATGCCAAAGAGATTTGGCAGAACTGAATGAAGCCACAAATATGAAATACACTGAGCTAAAAAAACATACCCAGGAAAATCCCTACAATCAAAAAACAGTAAGGCACTTTGTATTCTTAGAAGACCTATGTTTATCTATACATGTGAAAACATTATATTTGAGTTTATTTTTTGTATATTTTTACAAATGCAATTATGATCTCACAGACAAAGGACTCAATGTTGCTGTATGTACAAAGAACTTAAAGACCTCATGCACATAGCTGGAAATAGCTGTACAGGGTACAGATTGGGCATATTTGTCTACCTGGTAATCACTGGTGTGGTGCACAGCTGCTTGCAGTCAGCCTGTAGAAATAAATAACGGGCTGGCTAAAGTCGCGTCAGTACGGGTATATATGCAAATCCTATTGCTTACATGTGTACCGGGACTTATCCATTCCCCTGAATGTAGAGGGTCTGAGTTTGGAGTAGTGTGAAAGTCCCAGTGTGCATGCAAACAATGGGGGGAAAATGTACCGTATATACTCGAGTATAAGCCGTCCCAACGAGCCTCCTAATCCAAAACCACACACTGAAAACGCAGAACGAGCAGCGGCCATATCGGAGTAGATCTTCGTATACACCAAGATGGCGGCGCCCTCATGTTCGAGAGCTGCCATTTTGGTGTACACCTAGATCTACTTCAAAATGGCGGTGCGCATGCGCTCGTTCAGCATGTGACGTCACATGCTCCAAGATGGAGGCGGACATGCGCAATACACGCTGGCGGCCAATATGGCAACCGGCGTGTTCTCAAAGCGAATGCCCGAATATCGTTTTAGTATATTCGGGCATACATTAAATTTATTATTTTTGGATTCGGACGGACCGCCGAATCAACTGATTTTCATTGATTTGCAGGTTTGTACGAATCCGAATGGGGATATCTTGTCAACAGCACAATGAGGATGAATTTCTCTAACAGGGCCACAGACAGCAATAAAATCCTACAAGGATTTTTAACCTTTCACCTATCCAAAACATAAAAAAAGTTGTTGGCTTTATATACAAGTTAACATAATATAAACTCTTTGTGATTAGAGATAATAATGGAAGATTTATCTTATAACAAAAATGAAAAGGCCATATGTTTAAAAACATTTTCAATCACAGGGCCATGTGAATTGTAAATGTAATGTAATATTTAAAAGGTGTGTGTATATATATCCTGGCAAGGAGCAATCAATGGAACGAAATATTAGTGGTGGACATATCCTAATACCGTAAAGCAACTTTAAGCATTTAAGTTTTTTATTAATATTAATGACTCTGACAGCATACAGTGTGTGCCTGAGGTCATCAAATTTAAGTTTTAACTAAATGGGCAGCGCTACTCTTCCCAACACATCTACAACAATGCCAATCAAATCATTGAGGTGTTTAAACTAAAGCTGCTGCGATATAGATCCTTACGGTCTAACAGATGAATGTAAATCAATACACAGCGCTAATCAATCTAAAGTGAAAACATGTGCATATATATATTTATCGATTTATAGTGACTACCATAAGTGGTCCAAGAGCATAAGTGTAATATCTATACAAGTATATAACGCTAAAATAAAATCGCGTATACACTAGTGCTGAAATAAGTGACAAAAATTAGTGTGAACAAAATATAATTGTGTGAACAAACTAAGAATGAATGTTTATGATTGTAAATATTTCTGTGATCAAAAAAATATCTTATTTTGAAAATATCTTATTTAAAACTATAAGTGACGTGGTCTCCGTGATTGGTTTGTGTGAACTTCAAAACAAAAATTTTCTTTTTTATGTGAAATTTGTTAATAAAACAGTTATGCAATAATCAAAAGTCTCTATATTATTTATCAGTCCATTCCAAGTGAGAAAATAAAGTAATAAAATGTTCAGATTATTCGGTGATGTACACTTAGTCCTTATTCTGGGGAGTGTATTGAGATCAATACCATTCCCCTCAAAGTGTGTACTCACCCCAGGTATCCGGCTGTAACAGACAGCCCCACACGTTTGTATTTCCCGGAGCGGAATAGTTCAGTATGTTTTGTCGGCATGCTCCCCTGAGGACGTCGTTGGTGATGAAACGCGTAGGGGCGGGTCATTTCATACCATACCTGATAGGTGGTGAACCGGTCGGACTTGTTTTATTGCTTCCTGTTTTAAGAAATTCAAATATACGAATAAACCACCTTTTACTACACTATGAAGGGCCTCTGTCTGTTTTTTACATGAGAGAATGGATATGCTCTAATTGGAAAATCGAGTGTGGAGAAATTGCCGACAAAACAAACATATTAACAAATTTCACATACAAAAGACAATTTTTGTTTTGAAGTTCACACAAACTAATCACGGAGACCACGTCACTTATAGTTTTAAATAAGATATTTTCAAAATAAGATATTTTTTTGATCACAGAAATATTTACAATCATAAACATTCATTCTTAGTTTGTTCACACAATTATATTTTGTTCACACTAATTTTTGTCACTTATTTCAGCACTAGTGTATACGCGATTTTATTTTAGCGTTATATACTTGTATAGATATAACACTTATGCTCTTGGACCACTTATGGTAGTCACTATAAATCGATAAATATATATGCACATGTTTTCACTTTAGATTGATTAGCGCTGTGTATTGATTTACATTCATCAAATTAAGTGTTGCATTAGGCGAACCTAACCTCTTTTGCTTGGTCGGGACATTGATTTTAATACAGATCATTTTTTATTATTGATGTAACCAATAAAACAAACATATATCTGGCTTATTTGTGTCTGAGTTGCTTCCTTTCACACACTGCTAAGCAGTTAACCCTATATACGTATGTAACATTACAGGTACTTGTCTAACTTGGAGTGACATATTCCTTTATCTGGTCTCAGTGTCTACTTTGTGGTGCAAGATTATTTTAGGTGCCCATGTCATCTACCCAGGTGCCCATGTCATCTGCTGTATGTATGTGTATATATACAGTATATATACTGCATACACATTCATTTTATGCAAAAATAAAAAATCCTGGTATGTGAAATATCTACTGCTGGCTGATACATCAGCACAGTGCAT